TGCGGTGTCCACGTTCTCCCCGCCGGTCGCCCTTCTGCACAAGTCCTGGGCCGCGTCGTTGTAGTCCTTGCCTGCTGCCCGCCCGACCTCTGACACCTCGGCGTCGGCGTCGATCTCCCACGCCTGGAAATCACCGCGGGGGCGAGTTCTGCTTGTTCTCGCGCCAGTGTGAGGGCTGGCCTGGCTGTGAGATCCACCGCCTGCGCGCTAGCTGGGTGGCTGCCCTCCACCTGCCGCCCCTTCTGCGCCCCCTCCCGCCCGCGGCCTCCTCGGCTGCCAGCTGCGATCTGGTCGCGGCGGCCCCCCCGGCACTGATGCGGCGTGCCCGCAGCGGGCGCTGATCGAATATTGCCATCTTTGTCGCGCGGTCCGAGTGCATGTCCCGGGGGGGCGCGCCCTCAAGCGCCGAAAGTAGGTCCCCTGATCCAAAACTAGCTGGCTGCAGAGAGGGCCAGTCGTTCCATGAGTTGTTGCTTCGCATTGCCTGTGTGTGCTGTCAGGGTTGCAGCTTCCACTCAACGTGCTCTGGCCAAGTGTTCCCATGCGGTTCTTCGGCTCGTGAGCGTCTGAAGGGAATTGATGCGCTGGTTGCCCGTAGTAAGGGGGGCCGCGAGGTTACGCGCGCGGGGCGGATCTGATGACGCGGCGGTGCATCGCTCTCTGGCTGGCGAGAAATAAGCCGCGGTCGTCTCCGTTTTCTCGCAGTTCGCATTTCCAAGGCTGGACTTCTCGCAGCGCCATCTCTTCTCGCTCTTCGTCTTTTTGGGGCTGCCCATGAAGAGGAACTGAACCGGTGAGTCTCGCTTCTCGTACTTCACTAGCGTCTAGTAGGCGCAGTTGTTCCCTGGTTTGAAGCGCGAACATGCTTCCGATCGCGACGTTGCCCCCGAAGATGTTTCGGAAGGTCTCCGAGATCTGGCAAGCTTTCTGGACGCCCTCTACGAATCGTCGGGCCCCGGGGTTCGCGCCCGCCGCCAAGGGGCTCTCGCCGTTCTCGGCGTCAGCGATTTCTCCCCGAATCTAAGAAGACGCAATGCGGCCCCGTTCGGCCTCGGCGCTTTCAAATCCGAGGCGCCCGAACATGGCGACGACGACTTGGCGGCGGCTGTTCGGAAAACTGATGATGCTTTTTGCCCGGCCAAGCCTGCGAACCAGGTGCTTCTTCCGCTGGCGGCAGTATGGGCCAGAAGCGAAAGGCCTCAAGCGTCGTCGTGCTGCGGATGGATCCATATTGCCTAATAGGTCGTAGCTCGCCCCATCATGGCTCGGCGCAGTAGCACTCTGCGGCGCGGCGCACTCGTTGGGCGTCGGCAGGAAGCACTCGATGCACGGCAGTCCCGCGTTGATGGCCCTGCAGATCAATACTGCCCGCTTCCGTCGGTAGAGGGATGTTCTTCTTCGTCCAGAAACTGCCGCACTCGTAGTAGCTCTTCTTCATCGCATGGACTCTCTTCTGCAACTCGCGGCGGTAGCTCTGCGTCGCCGTCGCGCGCGGTCCCAGGTAATTGCCTCGCCGCGTCCTTCGCCGCGCCTGGCATCTACTGGCGTTGGTCCTTCTTTATGGTTTTATGGTCTGGTGTGCTCTCGCCCCCCCTGCGCCCTGGAACAAGACGATGGCCCCCTGCTTGCCCCGGTCCTGGCGTAGTCCAATTTCCCTCAGTCTGTCGCTCAGCGCCGCGTCTACTGCGCGCGCTTGGCGGGCGAGTTTGTCTGCGCCCGCCTCCTTGCTGCCCAGGATGAGCTTTCTCAAGTCGTCAGCGTACTTCGTGGGGCCCGCGTAGACTGGGCGCAGGAAAAGCTCGCAGGCGCCGCGCAGCTTCTCGCCGTGGCGCTGCAGTCGCCGATCCAGCGCTTGATGCGCGGGCTGAAGCTGGCCATGAAGTGCCTCGCCATGTCGAGGTCCCCGATGAGTCCTCCGCAGTGCGGTTTGATGCAGACCCCGTTCTCGTCGCCCCTGCACGGCGCGCCGAAGGTCGCCCTGCGGCACCATTGCTCGCCTATGTCCCGCAGGTCCTCTGGCATGATCTTGCTGTTGGCTGCGTCCATCGTCATCCAGTTGCAGCTCGCGAGCGCGTTCGACACGTCCTTCGTCGTGGAGGCGCAGTTGCGTCCTGCTTGTCGAGCCCTGTACTCGGTCACCGCCATTGCCAGGATGGCTCCTCCGCGTCGACGCCCCCCGATGAAGCCGCAGTCCTGGCCCGCGTGGGCGACGGCGTTCCGTCTGCGAAGTCGCGCCGCGTAGTGGGCCTTGCCGATCGGGCCCATAATATGGTGGATCCTTTTTTCCTGCGGGACCTTTCTCTTAATGTTCTTGCGGACTGCCGTCGCTGTGCCCTGATGCCGTCTCGCTGGAGTCTCGCTGCTGCTCCTGATGGCCGCCAGCGCCGTTCTGATGAGTGCGTCGAAAAAGTGTGCCTCCTCCCGCTGTCTTGGCGGTCCGAGTCCTAGTCGCGCTGCCGGTTGTTCTGCGTCGTCTGGCGGGTTGAACGCATCCTCCATAATTCCGTCGGTGCTGTCGTCGTCGGCGCCGCCCGCCTCTGTCGCGCTTTCTGAGGCGCCCAGCGACGTCGTCGAGGTCCTGCTCAACTTTCTCGACTAGGTCCTCCTCGTAGCGGTCGTTCTCTTCCGCGAAATGATGCATGTCCTCGATCGCGTTGATGTCTTGCACGGTGCCGTCCATGGCCTCCATTCGCCTCCTGGCTGCTTCCGCAATTCGAGCCATTCTTCTCACGTCGGCTGCGCCGTCGTCGCCAGCCAGTAGTCGCGCTTCCTGGGTCCATAGCGGCCGCCCGCGATGAAGCGCGAGAGTCGCCCTACTCGTGCCAGGTCACGTTGTTTCCATGCCTCGCACAATTACTCGACCCTGACTCTGTCTTGCGCACGCCCTTGCACGGCGTCGTGATTTCTCGCAATATAGATTCGATTTCGCGCAGCCGTCGTTCCAGCGGTGTGATCATCTGACTAGTATCTTCGGCGAACGGGCTGTTGCGTTCGGTCTGTCCCTGGCCCCGACTCACCGCACCCGGAGCGCTCCGACCCGTTTCGAGGCTATCCGCGCCCTGAGGGCGCGGCGACGAGTCGGAGACAATCGGGCGTTTAGCCTCGATCGTGGTCTCCTCGCTGGTCTCGTGGCACATAGCGGTAAGTGCTAGCGCGTAAAGCCGTTCTCTGCCGTCCCTGCGTTCCCGTAGTAGTTGCGTGTGCTGTCGTCGCAGTTCGGCGCATGGTGTTGTAGCCGGCGGGGTTGCGCCGTACTACTGCTGCGCGGACTGGGTGATCATCTGATTCAGCCCCAGGGATAGTCGGTCGACTCGTTTGCCCCCTGGGTTGTATTCTTCCAACTGCGCCTCCAGGTCTCTGATAAAGTCGTTGCGGAAGCCTCGTCGTGCTCCTTGCGCCAGTCGGTCCGTGTCCCAGCGAAGTGGTGTTTCCTGTCGTCGGCGTCGGCGCTGCACTGGGAGTCAGAACGTGGTCTGCACTTGCACGTGGTCGCGTCTCGTTCTGCACGGGATGCTTTGGAGTCGTGCGCCCAATCGTAGAAGTGTACTTGTGAGATCATGGCCGGGACGGGCTCCTGCGGGATCGTGATGTAGTCGATGCAGCTCGTCGTGTGCTCGCCGAAGCAGGTGGGTCGCCAAGTATCCGTTGTGTTGGTGATGCGTGCTCGCTGCCCTGCTCCTCCTGGTAGTCGCTCGATCGAGCGGCCTGGTCCTACTGCATGTGATTATGGTCAGTGTCCCCGTTGTGTGATGCGATCCCGTCGTTCAAGTCCCCAGCCGTGATCACGGGCTTGCTGCGCGCGCGGTTGGTGACCGTCTCGTCCAGTCATTGGTTTGGCCTGCCCACCGTGGCGTAGCACGTCTTGCGCGCTTGCTTGCCCTTGGTGGGTTGCGGTGGGAAATAGTAGCCGATCGCCAGAAAGAGCTGGTGGTGGCGTTGGACCGTGAGGGCCAGCCCGCGTCCTCGTAGTGGCGGTGGCGGCTCGGTGATGTCCACGATCTCCGCGCCGCGCAGCCTGCCCTGCACCGCGATGATGATCCCCGTGCTCTTGTTGGTAAGTTCGCCTGGTTGCCATCCCGCGTCCTCGTATCTGGTGTCGCCTTCCTTCTGTTTTGTGATCGTATCGGATCTGCATCGTCTCCCCGTGCCTGGCAGGATGAGTCTGTCGAAGTTGTAAGTCTCCTGAAATATCTCCGCCAACCGATCTGCCTTGGCCGAAAGTGGGCTGAAGAGAAGAACCACGAGAGAAGCCATCACTGTTGCCATAATGCGGGCCGTCGCCCTTCCCTGTATCAGCACGATCTGAGTAATGGCATGGTCGCTTCCTGGGCTGCCCTGACAATCTCTTAAACCCAGATGGCAGCTGGAGGAGGAAGAGGAGGAGAAGGACAAGGAGGAGGATCAAGCCATCTCGGGTCAAAAGGCCGGGGGCGACGCCTCGCCAGGGCGGCCCCAAACATCGACCATACGCAGTGCGATGTTCGATATCCGCCCCCCATGCACCAAAATTCCCAAGCATCAAGAAAGGTGGTTTCCGCGTCCGAAGTCCCGACAGGCGGTGAAGGAGAGCGTTTGCGAGAAGGTTGGGCGGTAAAGTCCAGCCACTCTGAAAGTTGTGGGTGGCGAAGCATAGCCGTGCGAGAATTGTGCGAGAAGGCGGCAGGGGCGCCGAGGCGAGGGAGAAGAAGAAAACGCTCGAGTGAGCATCTTAGGGTGTGCAAGGATACAGGACAGGACCGCAGATCGCAGCCGCTCGCGGAGGAGGAGGAGGAGGAGGAGGAGGAGGAGGAGGAGGAAGAGGAGGGGGAGGAGGAGGAGGAGGAGGAGGAGGAGGAGGAGGAGGAGGAGGAGGAGGCGGAGGAGGAGGAGGAGAAGGAGGAGGAGGAGGAGGCGGGGGATGGCGGAGGAGGAGGGGAACGAGGAGAGAGGCTCGGCTCGGATCGGCCCGACATGGATGTGGCCTTCGGCTTCGGTCTGCGACCGACTAACCTCGTCCTTGCGCTCTGGCGCAATCCGTCCCAGCTCGGAAAAGCTGTGGTGACATTGAAGCTAGGGGTGAAGCCGAAGACGGAGCAAAAACAGGAGGATCCAGACCACTGGCGACACGACGTTTTCGAATCACTGGCCCTTGGATATCTCGACCTTTCCCCAGGGTTTGCTCCTCATCCGAACCAATTGTTGAACGCCACGGGGTCGGAAATGGCCCCCCGAAGCGGGACAACTCCAGCGCGGTGGCCCTTGCGCTTGAGATTTTGCGAGCTTTCTGGAGGTCCCCAGAAGTCAAGGTCTGGAGACCCCCAGAAGCCTCCGAAGGCACGCAAGGGCAACGACAATAATAATGACAAGCAAAGTGAGATGATAAGAATAGCAGGGTAAATGTGAGTACTACGATGAGCACTGGGAATACTAATAATACGAAGATGAATAATGCGAACATTCCATACAAATTGCAGAAGAGGAAAACTAACAGTGGTATTCATGACAAGACTACCTTCAAACCATAATCAATGGATCAACTAACCATACTATTAATAGTACGATTAATAAAACAAAAACAACACATAGCAACAACAATCATCCTGATAATAATGATGTGAAGGAAATGAATAATAAGTGTACCAATAACAAGAACAATACTACACATGATAATAATGCTAATAAGAAACATGCTAACGATGATAAGAAAACAAAGAAAAAGAAGCATCAGCTCGATCATCCCCCGTCTTTTGTTCCTCCTCCCCGTACTCGATCCTCCTCCTCCTCGAGGGGAGTCGAGGAGACGAGGAGGAGGTCCGAATTGGAGAGAAAAGACCGCCGTCCGAAAGGCGGCCAGGCGGACGTGGCGGCCTCCGGTTCCTCCTCTGTCGCCTCCTGCTGCTCCAGCTCCTCCTCTGCCGCTTCCTGCGGCAGCTCCTGCTGCCAGGCAGGCGGGCGCGGCGGTGGGGACTTTCCCCCCCCACCTCCTCCTGCTACCGCCCCTCCTGCAACATTGTTGTTTTCCTCGTGGGGTGGCTGGTCCCGCCTCCCCTTCATCTCCCTCCCACTCCCCTTTTCCTCATCGTCCTCTTACTCCTTTTCTTCCTCCTCCTCCTCCTCCTCCTCCTCCTCGTCCTCTCCTCCTGCCGCCCTACCTTTTCCCTCCCGCCCTCCTTCCGTCCCCCCCCCCCCCCCAGAAAGGCCGGGGGGGCACCCGAGTGGGTCCCCGCCCCCGTCACCAAAGAGGATGGGATTCTGGTCCAAGGTCCCTAGCCAAAAAAGGCGCCACGGAATCAACTAAATCATGCCAGGAAAAAGGCAAGCAAGGGCAGCCCGGCAGGGGAAGGAGAGGAAGAGGAAGAGGAAGAGGGGCGTCGGGCGGGGGGCTGTCGTGGCGGTCGCCCTGGTGGTCGTGGAAGTTGGCGTGGTGGTGGAAGTCGTTGCAGTCGGAGTGGAGGTGGTTGCCGCTGGCGCCGCGGTACAGGAGGTGGTTGTCGCGGTGCCGTCGTCGAGTTGCTGGGCGATGGGCGCTATTGGTGGCGGTGGTTGTCGTGGTCGGCGTCAGGGGTCGGCGGGCTGAACGTGGTAATCGTGGTCGTCGTTCTGGTGGTCGTGGTGGGGAATCGCGGCAGTGGGTAAGGTTGTAGTTGTGCTGGTGATGCTACTGCTGCTGGCGGTTGTCGCGCTGGGGCTACTGGTGTTGGGAGCCGCGGAAACAACGAGCTGCCCCTTACCGCCCCAGGGCGCTCAAAATCATCTCCGAACCCCTTTGTTAGGAGGCGCGTGATGTGTTCCGCCAGATCCGGCCCGGGAGCCCAGAGCGGTCGGCGTCATCGCGAGAAGCACCGCAGTTCCGAACGGAGCTTACTGCCTCGTCGGACGGCCGCCCCCCAGTCTCGAAAACCATCGGGACTAGGTTTAGGCCCTCTGGGGGGAGGGGGCGCTCGCGTTTGTCCTCGGGGCTCGACCATCTGGACCACTGCGAGCCCATCTCGTTCCGCTCGGGCACGCCTGCGTGGCGCGCAGGTAAAGTAAGCGCGCGCAGGCCGCCGCCCAGTCGACAACAATGGGTCGATCAGCGCCGGGGCCGTGCGTCTGGATGTCCAACCTTGCCTCCTGACGAACCCTTGTCCGGGGGTTGCGGCAGTCACGCGCCAGCGCCCGTTGCTCCGTTGCCGCAGCATGACCCGTGGTATCCCGTTGCAAAACAGCACGTCGGTCACGAGGGCGATCGCCCCAAGCAGTGCGGACTTGCATGGCCTGGACTTGGTATGGATCCCGCGTGGGTCGAAGGCCTCTCCGCCTAGCGCGCCGTCGCGACGTCGGTGATGGCAGCGTGGGCCATGGACGCACCAGCGAGACTTGGGGGTCGGAACGGACCCAACTCCTTCGACTGGCTTGAACCGGCGCACCGTTCTAGAAGACAAAATGCGATCGGGGTGACGACGGCGGGCCACATGGGATTCCTCTGGGGATAGTGCACGCGCTGCTCCCGTCGCCAGCATGGCGCCCCACTCCATAGCGTCAGCTTCGGCGAACCGCTTCCGATCCTCGGGGGGAGATCCTTAGGGCGAACCTCCGCCCCTCTAGGATTCACTCGCTTCCCTTGGGCCCCCGGCGCCAAAGAAGCAAAACTGGCCTCGTCGTCGAGGCCCTCCGGGACTAACGACGCTAAGGCTGGGGCCCCCGATCAAGCGGACCACTCTCGCAGCTCGCGGGCTGAATCCTCGTCCCGGTCTCCATCCCGTCCAACCCAGAGGTCTTCTTCTCCGGTGGCTTCCTCCTTCTCCCCGAGGGGGGCTGCGTCCTCCGCAATCTGCCTCAAAGGGCGAGGAAGCGACGGAGGCGATCCCGGGGGCGCCTAAAGCTGGAGAGGCAGGGCACGCAAGGAAGGCTCTCCTGGAGCCGTGGCCGCGGAGCCCGGGGCGCCAGGGGCTTCCGGGGGGGGGGGGCCTTCCGCGGCCGCGTCGACGGCCCCACTTCGCTTCCCGGGGCCCCGCGCTTCCTCGCGGAGCTTGTCGAAGGCGCTGCTCTCGACCAGCTCGGCCCCGAGGGGTTCCGATCGAGCCGCCGGTCGAACCTGCTCAACGGCGTGCTTGGGCAACTTCGATCGCATCGCCACCCAAACAATGCCTTCCCCACCCCCTCCTGAGCCGCCGGCCCGGCGCACCGCTGCGCCCAGGCCCGCCCCGCGATCGCGTTGCAAAGAGTGCGACCGACTGGCCGCTGCGATGCGCCTGTAGACATTATGCCCAATCCCCTGGGCGAATCTCGCGATCGCGGTGCAACCGCGCCTTGGATGCTTCGGCTAGCCTGGGCTCGCCGCCCAAGGCCATGAGCGCACGACGGGCCACTTATCTGATCCGGCGCTGTCTCGCGATCGCGGAAGCCCCCGCGGCATCGGGTCGAGGGGGTCGCCGGTTAGAATTGAGCGAGGGATTCGTGGATTCCGACAGAAAACAAGCTGAGAAGGCGAGTGCCCACCTCGATGGAAGCCTCGGTTCTTTGCTGCTATGACCTCGCGCGACAGGAGGTCAGTTTCTTCGGCTAACGCGGGGCTCGCGGCGAGGGCAGCCTTCGAGAGAGCGCCCTCGACGCCCCCGCGACGCCGGCACTTGCCGCTTTGGTGGGGGGAATTCGCGGGGATGACGTGGTGGAGAATGCCGGCGCGTTCGCGTCCTCGTACGAAAGCGACCTCGAACTCGCCTCCCCCGTCGATCACAACCATCTCGGGGGCCTCGAAAGGCCGCGGCCACCAGCGCAGAAGGGCGGCCCATGCCGGTTTTGCGGCGTCGTCAGGAAGGAGACAACATCGCTTAAAAGACGCGCCATGATCGATTGCGTTAAGGGGGGGTGGTCTTGAGTCTTGCCCAGAACATCAGCATAGAAGATCTCCAGCGCCGGCATTGTGTTAAAGGCGTAGGCGTGGGGAAAATGAACCTTCCTTCTCCAGCTCATACGGGAATGGGAAGGACAGTGATCACACGCGAAATGATCTCGGACCCAAGTCAAACTTCGGGGCGAGGCCTGGCCACCCTGAGCGCCCCCAGGAAATCCCCACCACGGGCGTGCCCCAGGTTAACGCGGAGACGAGGCACTTCCTTCTGAAGCTCGTCGGAAAGGACCGAGGATTTGGGACCCGGGGCCGGGAACGGGGTCCGGGGTTGCTCAGACTGGGATTCGGCTCCAGACGGCTCAGGGCCTCGCTCCTCGACGGGATAATCCCAGCCCCCCCCCCCGGAGAAGGGGTCGTCAGAAGGAGCGGGCGCGATGGCGAAATCTCCGCGCCGCGTCCCCAACTCTGGTCGCGAGGCCCATCACTAGCTATCGCAGGAACTTCTCCGCTACACTGGTCCTGGCGCGGCCGATGAGGTGGGCGCGCGAATGATATCCCGAACATCGCTTCTTGCAGTGGGCGAGAAAGGGGGGCGAGTTCGACGCGATAGGTGGGCTTCTTGGAGCGACCCTCCCCGTCGACGGTCAATCCGTGCACGCGCTGATCCAGGGTCTCGCGGCCGACCCCAGGAAGGCCCATGACGCGACGAGCCGGCTCGAGCTTCCGCGAGCTCGCTGAGGCAGGGTCTTCCAGAGCATAGAAGCGCCCGCCAGACATCTGAAACCCGGCTATCTTCATGCAGAGCTGGAATGCCGCAAGACTTCTCTTTTCCCCCCAGCCTCAAGAACGGGGTTCCTCCGCCCCCACTCGGAGGCACGAGGCGCTGAGAACGCCTTGCACATCGGAGTCATCAACGCAAAGAGGTCACTATCCTTGTCGATCGGGGGACAGGAGGCCCGTTCCAGCCGGAATATCGAACGCAGGGGAGACCCTAAGCCCGCGACGCTCGGGTTCAGCCGAAACTTCTTCGTGTGGGCTGAAAAGCTCCAAGACTGCTGCCCCTTCTTCTGATCCTTTCCTTGTCCTTGATGATATTGCGTCGAGCTCGGCGGCGCTTCTGAAGCCAGGGCCATCTAGGGCCCGCGCCGCGGCCTCTCAGACTTTCCCGAGGACGGTCGGGGCCGCGGGGGCGATCTCGATTAAGCCATCCAAGGCTGCCGCCGCGAACCGATCATCCTCTAGAGCTTGCGCCTTGCCTTCCTCCTTTCCTTCCCCAATCTTTTGGCATCAGAACGCGGCGGTCAGTTCCTCTGCAAAAAACGTTCGCGCGGCATCCGGCACCTCGCGAAACGTTCGCGTAGCATCCGGTACCTCGCGAGAGCCTGAAGTGACCCAGAGCCCCGAATAGAGGAGGCCCCCCTGGCACCATGTGATCTTTGACCAGCGGGGCCAGGGAGGGAGCAAAGAGGGCGGGGCCCAGCCCCCGCGGGCGTCGATCGCCACCGCGGCGAAGAACTCACGGCGCTGGGAGAGCGTCAGAAGTCGGGGGCTCCAACTCCCGTGCTGGCACAGTTCCGGACCGGAAAGGTGCCGACTGGCCCCTTCACTCCAAAATCCCAAAATGTTCCTGGACTTTGTCAGAAACAATCTCGACCGCTGAAGCGATTTGTCATGGCCCCGAGATCCTTGATGAAAACGCCCCTGGGCGAAACGTGCTGGACTCCTAGCTTCCTCGGCTGGGCCCGCTTCGGAGCCCCCTTCAACTCCTAGGTGGCGCACGCGGCGCGCAGCGGGGTCTGCGCTGGGCCTGAGGTCGGGCTCGAGGCAATGCGCTGCGCCAAAAGCGCCACCTTCTGCAAGTCCTCGTCCGTCAGGATGGGGGGCTCGATGCTCCTCTTCGGCAGCGCGGTCGGACAACTCGACAATGCTGGAGTCCAGGGATCTCCTCCGTCGAAGCTCCTCGCCAGCTCCTTCGGCTCCGCCTTCGTGGTCTTGATGCACTCGCGGGTCTTCTCCCGCTGGATCTTCGCCCTCTCGCCCTTGAACTCGCGATTCGCCATCTCGATCTCCTCGTCCTCTGCGAAGGGCACGCCCGACGCCC